TTGTTTTTTTTTTTTTTTTTTTTTTTTTTTGGTACTGAGGATTGAACTCAGGACCTTGCCTTTGGGAGGCAGGTGGCTTTTCATAGTGGATTTCTGTTCTGCCTTTTTAGGGCAGCAGGCCTCTGAGACCCGTGTGGAGTCAAGAGCACTTTTGTGATAAATTTGTTCTTTTTCACTGTGCTCACATTTGCACTGTGGCTCAGAAGCCATGGTGACTGTAATACCTTGGGCACACGTGCATGTGACATGTTTGAGGCAGGGGCACCACGCAGCAGTAATAGTCATTAAGGATCACTACAGGTTTGTGGTTCAAAAAAAAACGAGTTTCACTTAAGAATTTCTCTGAAGAAACAGTAAAAATCAGTAGTTTTTAAAGTGTTTTTTTCAGACTGGGCTTTGCTGTGTAGTTCAGGCTGGCCTTGAACTTGCTGTGATCCTCCTGCCTCAGCTTCTCCAGTTCTGGGATCACAGGCAGGCGTGCACCATTATGCCTAGCTTAGTGTCATCAGATTTGGACCCTCGAGTTCGTGTCCATTTGCACTGTGGGATGAAAGGGAAATGAGCAGGAGACAGGGCTGTGCACTGAAGCATGGTGGTTGGTGCACAGACAAGCACTGTGCTGACCTGTAAGCAGGATTTGCTGCTGTTCTTGTGTTTTACTTGCCAAGAACAACTGGTAGAATTTAATTTCCTCTTTTGAAAAATAAGTTTTTTTCATAGAAACCTGTTAACATAAACTATTATTTTTTAGTGAGTCTTTTAAATTTTTCTTAATTTCTGATACAGCAAATAGTTTAACAATCTTAAAACATTGTAAGCATGTAACAGGATATGGGCACCAAAGAATGTGAGATGTTGATACCTTAGGGCCAGCTTGTTGTGCCCCCTTCCTCACATTTGTGAGTTAAATTCCTGCACTCGGGCAACTTCGCATTGCCCTGTCATGTGTGACAAATATAACTCCTGCTCTTGGTCCCCCTGCCTGTTGCGTGTCATTGTGATGAATGTAGTCCCAATACTCTGGAAGGCTGAGGCAGGAGATCAAAAGCTCAAGCCCATCTTAGGTGACTTAGCGAGACCCTGTCTCAAAATGAAAATAAGGGCTGTGATACAGCTCAGTGTGAAGGCCCTAGCTTTAGGCCCCAATATTGCAAAAAGCAAAAACATAGTCTGTCTCCAAAACGTGAATGTGTTTCTGACTTTTAGAGACCCTGCAGATGGGTCTTCAGAGAGTGACAGTGCCATGACTTCCAGCACTGTGAGCAAGCTTGCCGAAGCCCGGAGGACGACGTACCTCTCAGGACGCTGGGTCTGTGATGACCACAATGGGGACACCAGCATCAGCATCACGGGGCCCTGGATAAGCCTGCCAAACAATGGGGACTACTCTGCCTACTACAACTGGGTGGAAGAGAAGAAAACAACGCAGGGGCCTGGTAAGAAGCAAAATATTTGAGAGAGAGGAGGAAGAGAGGGAGAGTGAGAGAGAGGAAGAGGGAGAAAGGGAGAGGTGAGTATTGAAATACGATAGTATGTCTCAAAATCAATTTTAAAGCGAACAGTTCCAGGGCGTTCAGTATTCAAAACACTGTGCAGCCATCAGCTCTGTGCAGTTGTAAAACTGGTTGTGATCCTGCACTAAAGGTGTAGCACGGCACCACGGTTCGTTGATGGCGTCAGAGATTCTGTGGCCTTATCTGACTTCTTTCACAGGGTTTACATTGTGGAATATATTAGTTGTCCGCTGGTGTTTATGGCTCAGTAATATTCTGTTATATGGATATACTACATTTTATCCATTCATCACTCAGTGGACTGAAAACATGTTTATTTTTTATTTTTAATTTTTGTTTTGTTTTGTTTTGTTTTTTGAGACGGTCTCGCTATATAGGTCAGGCTGACCTTGAACTCTGTGTGTAGCCCAGGTTGGCCTTGAACTCATGGCAATCCTCCTGCCTTAGCCTCTGGAGTGCTGGGATTGCAGGTGTGCACCACCACATCCAGCTGAAACATATTTTTAGATATTTCACCTTTGTGGTTTAATATTGCTTAGTTTATATAAAAAAAGATCTCATTTAGTAATACATATCTAGCTTATTCTGTTTTTAGTTTATAACTGGTAGTATGTTTGTTTAGCAGTCCAAACTGAATCGAAATACCCCAATAGGAAAACCTTTTGAAACTCCTATAGTTTCTCTTAGATGGAGGAGAATTGCTCATTAAGTCATTCAGCAGATATTTAGTGAGTACAGGCTTTGTCATGCACAGTGCCGGGTGCTGGTAATATAAGGGGACCAAGACAGGTGTGGGTGGCTGTTTGCCCTTCTAAGTTGAGTAAATGATTGAAATAAACAATCAGAGGCCCCATATGTGCAGTGGGTTCTGTGGGAGGCAGTGGTATTCCAGAGTAGTGCAGGGTTGCAAAGGGAGGGACGTCTTTTCTGTTGAATAGTTTAGAAAGGACTTTAGGGCATGACATTTAAGTTGGCACCGATTGTTCTGATAGAACTGATCAGGTTCAAGTGATTCAGACTCCAGTTTCATTCCTGCCTGACTGGGTTTTAGGCTCATTTGTTTATGTTACATTTTGTTCAGAAAAAAAAGAAAAGAAAAATGGATGGAATCAAAGTCTTTGTAAATAGGGAAGGGTAGAGGGGTCAAAGGGAGGGCAGGGGAATGGGGAAAAATGTAAGAACCAATATGTATAATATAAAGTTACAAATTCCCAATGATGAATGTCATCATGTTGTATACCTAAAATGTACCAATATACTTAATGAATTAAAAAAAAGAAAAAATAACTAAAACCAGTAGATGTTCATTTCCAGCCATAGAGTAGGGAATGCCGTTAGACCACCAGTAATGTAACAATAAAGTCACAAATCATTAAATCTTGGTTCATTAATATTTTGTTGGTTGTTGTCCTTACCCTTTAGACATGGAGCATAATAACCCTGCCTATACCATCAGTGCTGCGCTGTGCTATGCCACTCAGCTGGTCAACATTTTATCTCACATACTTGATGTCAATCTTCCTAAAAAGCTGTGTAACAGGCAAGTAACTGAAGGTGGTGATGTCTTCCCTACTGTGGATCTGCCAAGTTTTGTGAGTTCTTAATCCCAGTTAAACCAAAAATAAGAATTTAAGCATTAGCAAGCCAGAAATGTCTGATAGAAATATTTAGATTAAAAAAGATGCATGTAGATTTGCTTCATTATCTTGTTTTGTTTTGTTTTGTTTTTTTGAGACAAGAGTCTCCCTGTGTAGTTCAGGCTGCCCTTCAACTCACTGTGTTTTATTATCATACAATTGTTTGTGAAGTCTCAGACCATAGAGAGTCTTCCACTTAAAAAATAATTGAAGGAAACATATTATTTAGAGAGAATGCTGTAGATATAAGAACTGGGTGAATTTTAACAATTGGAGTTTATATTTTTTTTTATAGAAATTTCATGTGGCTTTTTTTTTAGTTTCTTTGCTTTTATTATGAATATAAATACAATACAGTACACATTTATATTCATATATTTATATATTTATAATTTGTAATTCCTTTCATCCTTTTTTTAAATTAAACTGAGGTCTTCATTGCTCTAATGGTGGATCTTTTCAGTGCCCTGCACATACACTCCTGACATTCTTGGTCAAAGAAAAACAAAACCAGGCCCGGAGATGAAAATGGCTGGCTTTACTGTCCTTTCCCATAGAACTACTATCAGTCTTTTATTTCCTTTACTGTTACTACATCTCTTCCATTGCTCATTCATATATCAACATTAAAAGTTCATAGAAAATATGCTGTCATAATCTCCTTTGTCCTTTCAAAATAGCTTGAAATCTCTTGTGTGAGTGAGGATGCGTAAGTAAGCACTTAGAGCGTTGCTCATTCTTATGGTTTAGAACTATCTATAAGAAGGTGTTGAATGTGTTACGGATAAATTAAGTTTTGCTCACCAAATAGATGCTCCTGAAAGTCTGAATATCAGTGTCACAAAAATAAATAAACAGGAATAAAAAAAGAGTGAGTTTTGCTAAAGGAAACTTAAACATCTGTAACCCTGTGCTTCCTTGAAGCTTCACAGGTACTTCTTCATAACAGGTTGATAATGGAAGGTAGGTTTAATGGCAGCTCACTCTTTGGGGCCACCCCTTCAAAATGCCAGTGAGCAGCTACAGATGACAGTTTCCCTGCGAATGTAGCTGTGTGAGAGGTTTTGTAAGAGTTCTCCTTAAAAGACTGTCGAACATTGCATTGGTTCTGTTCTGCCAGTGGAGCATCAGAACCATTGGGGTCTTCTCAGTGCAGCTCTTGATGTTGAGGTTGGCCCCATACCATCATCTGACCATCTTAGGATGATTCAATATTGCAGCACCATATAGAGAGGTATCTTCTTCTCTATCTTTGGAGTTGAGATCTGCCTTGCAGGCAGTAAGGTGCTCTGCTCACTCACAGTGGCTGGTCCTCATAGCCACATGAGGTGCTGTCCTGAGCAGCTCATCTCAGGTGATGATTTTTGTACCTTTGTTCAGCAACAGTTTAAGACATCCAGGCTTCCTCCATGGCATGCCCAGTGGATGTTGTGGATTCATGGAATTTGGTCTGGGCTCTAGCTTCTATTAACTTTTCCACAGCTGCCCAAGGTTCCTCCAGGCCTGCTCTGTGAAAGGCTGTTCATTTTACAGTCACCACAGACATCTGGATTGTTCTTGTCTGACAATAATTTTTCGATTACTAGTAGTTTATTTTCAGAGCAGCCTTCAGAAACTGAGGCACATCCACACATTCTGTGATGGTTTGGTTTTCTGGTTTCTTCACAATTGGAATTTTAATTTTCCTGCATTTTTTTCTTTTTCTTTGGTTGAATGATTATTTCAAGGTATTCTGGGTTTTCAAGCTTTGATCTTTGTACTAGTTTTTTCTTTTTGAGCTCTACCTCTTGCTCTTTCTCACTTTTCCACTGTTGCTCTAACAGGCCACATGGTAGCTTGGAAGAGTCTTCAGATCTTGCTTCTCCAAAGTAGTAGCAGCTTCATATTCTCCATCTCTTTAATCCTTAGGAAGGAATTGCCTTGCCTCCCCATTGCTGCTATTCTTCCGTGTGACCAAACGCTGCAGTCCGCTGCATCTTTATTCCAGTGTCTCTCTCTTAGCTCTGCTGGTGGGCTTCACTTCATAACACCAAACCTTGGAGAGGCCCTCTGTTGCTCACCGTTCCACCATCTTCCTGGGCTCAGAACAATGGCCTTTCTGCGGGCCGCCTCTGTCTTGCCTTGGGCACCTATCTTGCCCCAGCTGGGCAGTCACTCTTCCTGTGGCTTTAAATTAAAAAAAAAAAAATCCAGGTGTGATGGCTTCTCAGAAAGCTGAGGCAGAGGATGGCAAGTTTGAGGTCAACCTGGGCAATTTAGAGAAACCCTGTCTGAAAATAAAAAGGGGCTTAGTGCTACTGTGGCTACAACTTTTATTGTAAATACATTAGGTATAATTTTTATACTTCTCCAGAACTCAGTGATATTCTCTTATAATACAAAACACACAGTGGGACACTGAGACTGAATAGGAAGGAAGTGCTAAGAGATAAGCAAAAGAAAAACCCAAGGGCTGGGGATTTAGCTCAGTGGTTCTGCCACCTGTCTTGCAAGTGCAAGGACCCAAGTTCGATACCTGGTACCAAAAAAAGGGAAAGAAATAAGGAAATACTAGCATACCAGTGAGGGAAAGGCTGTGGCATGAAATGGAAAGACAAAAAAGACACCTCCTTAGTGTCAGATATTCATAATAGAGAAACTATAGAACTTGAAAGAAAAAATGAAACAAAAAATTCCAGTAGTGTCCAGTGATTATTAAATTCTCTGAGTGGTGGGGAGGAGTTGGTCAGTGTCTGACAAGCTACCCTGTAATGAAAAGCGAAGAAAAACATACTATAAAATATTTATGCACCTTCTAGACCTAATAGTATGGAACTCACATGTTATTTAGTCAAAACAGAGGCTCAAAAAATCATACACAATTCAGATTAGGTCTAATAGATCAAGTAATTGAAAAATACGGGATTGCATAATGCCAGCAAGGATGTCTTTTATCATTGATGTATTCACTGTTACATTTATTTATTTATTATTTATTTATTTTTTTCACTTTTACATTTAGTAGATAGACATTTTATTGAAATTATACCACTCACAGAAAATAAGGAAAGGCTGACAACAACAGTGTGAAAGTGTGTTGTTCAAAGAAAGACAATATAGTACTGCCAAAAGATTTTGAAAGAATAGATATTACAGGAGATTGTAACGTTGCATTCTGTATGGGATTTTTAACCTTTTTTAAAAAAAATGAGTACATGTTTGGAATTCATGCAGTTTACAGTTATCTTGGGGAGTGGTTACATGTATTGAATATCTTAAGATATACCATACACAGAAAAATTATTGGATAAATTTGATGACATTATTGTTTTTACATATCTTGTTATATTATCTTACAAAAATTTTTCATAATGCAATTTCTGGTTATCTTGTATTTAAATTACTGGACCTGCAAGTGGTTAAAGATAGAGACAGAGTCTGCCCAGTCCCAGCTGAGATGTTCCTTTCATCCTCTGCATTTCAAGCAAACAAATCCCTTACTACCTGTCTCCAGTAAACACAGATGATAGCATCCTAAAGTGTTCTGTGCTTTGCTTTTTGTGCCAGACACTGTTCTAGAACTGGGGTACATTGGTGACAAAAGCATAACCCCTGCCTCTGAGAGCTTGCATTCTGTGGGAGACAGTGCATCTGTCAAATGGTGACAGGTGCCATAGAGAGCCCTGAGACAGGGTGAGGGTGCCCTGACTCTGGGGAAGGCTCTGCTGTCTGTGAGAGTCTGCAGCAGGGCCGAATGGGCCATGGGGATCCCTGAGGAGAGAGGCTACAAGTGGAGTGAGCAGCAAGTACAAAGCCCTGGGAGGCATGAGCACTGAACTGAGCCACAAGAAGGTAGGCGAGGAGAGGAGCACACGTCTTGTAGCGCTACTGTACGCTTACACCTGTGGTCTGCACACAGTGGGCATTTGTGCCAGGATCCTGTCCGTCCCCTCAAATACTTCCAAGAGTAATCTTGTCCATTGCTGTTCCCTTTGCATTTAGATATTTGTGTAGTGTAAATTCCTAAAGTATAGTGGCCTGGTACAGTTGTCACTTGTATAGGTGCAGTGAAATTGCAAGGGCAGCAGTTTTTAGCAAGTGTCTATGAGGGGCAGTTTACTAGGGAGACAGAGACACAGGGAAGATTATATATGAACTGTAGTGTAAGGCATACTCTTCAAATGAACCTTTGAAGAGAATTTTCTGAAAAACTGCTTTCCAAACTTTTGTTTGTTTTACAGTGAATTTTGTGGAGAAAATCTCAGCAAACAGAAGTTTACTCGAGCCGTGAAGAAACTGAACACAAATATCCTTTACCTTTGTTTTTCTCAGGTATGGCAAATGTGTTTTGAACCAATATCTAATTTTCTATATAGCTGAAAATATTAATCAACTCTTTGCTTTTCCTAGCATGTAAATTTGGATCAGTTACAACCACTGCACACCCTCAGGAACCTCATGTACCTGGTCAGCTCAAGCTCAGAGCACCTGGGCAGGTAAGAAGGGTATGTGTGCTTTCGTGACTGCTTGTAAGTGGAGTGGTTTTGCTGACAGAGGACTTAAGTGTTCCCTAGTTCCAACTTCTCCAGAAATACTTTACTGAAATAATAGTAATCATATTTGAAATTTAATGGTTCTTTTATACTAATTTCTTAACGTTAGTATCAAACATACTTAACACCTAAAATGCAGTGGAGGAGCCCGTGTTTCTGGACTGGGGCCCGCCTGTTTGTTCCCTGAAGACCACAGACCACTTAGCATGCCTCAGGGCCATTTCTTTTCTTCCCTGGCCTGCCTGCTCTCTCCTCTGCTTCTCTCATGGTGTTTTTGAGCCTGCGTGTCCCTTGCCCACCATAGTAATTCATAGCACATTTTCTTTTATCACTGAGTCAGTCTAGTCGTCTTTTGTTGGACATGAAGTTTTTAGATTATTCAGTAAACTGGTTTGAAATCCATTAAAGACAGAAGTCAGTAACAAAAAAGACCAACTAAGTCTATGACTGATCTGTGGATCTTTTTAGTCTCAGGCCATAAAAGTACAAGATGGATGGAGCTCAATTTGAGTGCCATACAAGTGCCCTTTTGTACTTGCTCTTAGCAGTGTTTGCACACATCTCTGAAGAGATGGGGCAGGGCTAATGGATTCACACTTTGCTATGAGAACTCAGAAACAGGCTGTTAGTGTATGCGTAGCTAGCTGTACGCAAGTGTGAGTGTTCTGAGTATGTTTAAGTAGGCTAAACTGGTGTTTGGTAGGTTTGGTGTATTAATTGCAGTTTTGACTCTCAGTATTTTCAACTGATAGTTTTATTGGAGTATAAACTGATTTGTATTTTTACAGAAAATGATGAAATTTTTTATTCAGCATGCATCTGTGCATGGGGAGTGGGACTAAATGACAAAAGGTCTGAGGCAGCGAAATTGCTTATGATTTTCTAGATCAGAAGGCTCAAAATTGCAGAAATGCAATTTCTCCCTAAAAGGAACACTGATAAGAATCCCAAAAGATACTTTAGGGAGCTTTGAAAAGCTCATTCAAAATTTTGTTCAGCATAGTCTATAAGGAAATTCTGAAAATGACTAAGAGGGTTGGGCTTGGCCTTTTTCAAGACATAAAGTTGATTAAAACAAGGTGCTGTTAACAAACATAGCTAAAGCTATGTGTTAGAATAAAGACTCTTGAAGCAGATCTGTATACTGTATATGATAGGGGTGGCATGTTTAGCTAAGCATCACTCAGTAGTTTTAGGACAGTTAGTATTCAGGAGGGGAAAATGTTGGATTTGTACCACATTTCCTGTACAAATTAAATTCCAAGTTATATGAAAGATCTTATTTAAAAAAAAAAAAACTTGAAGTGAAAGGAGTGTTCCATAATCATATGGTGGGGAAAGAACTCTCAGGTAAGCCACAAAACCAAAAAACCATAAGGGAGAGGAATTTTACAGTATAAAAATTCTCAGCTGGGTGTGGTGACACATGCCTGTAATCCCAGCAATCTGGGAGGTTAAGGCAGAAGGATCACAAGTTCAAGCTCAGGCTGGGTAGATTAGTGACTGTGAGACTGTTGCAAAATAGAAAATACACTTGATCTTACAAAAAGGCGGAGAAACAATGTAAAACAGAAAAAGGGCTGGGGAAAGTAGTCAGTAACTAAGGATCATCAATCCTCAGTACCACAAAAAGGAAACAGCTAAATGTTTCTAATAAAAGTTAGCTTATCTTTAATAAAGTTAAATAGGTTTTACAACATTGTATAATAGACCAAAGATTAAAACCTAGCTACTTAAATCTTTCAAATCAATAAAGGAAAGACACACAATAGAAACAGACAAGGGATTCAAAGGTGCACACAAAAGAAAGGAAAGTTGTTAGCTTAAATCAAGAATAAGGAAATGCAGTATGAATCAATTTTCCATTATTTGTAATAAGTTTAAGAAAAATGAAAAGGATTGATGATATCCAGCGTGGGTGATAGTTGGGAAAACATGCACTCTCTTACACTGGAGGTGAATTTCTTCGGTGGGTATAAAGGAGGCAGGAGGATCACCTTGAGCTCAGGGCCAGCCTGACCACCAAGATGGACCTGTCTGAACAAAACCGTTTCCTATTACCTTTTGGTTAGCCCAAGGATTACCTTTTTTTTGGTCATTTTCAATGGCTCTGCCCCACATAAGTCATGTCTCAGTTCATGGACTGTGGGCCAGAGGTCAGGAAGTGGCTCTCCATGTCGGAAGCTGTAGAGATAATTGTGAAGGAGCCTGGGTGGGACTGCCTTCTCGTTTCCAGTCACACCAGCAGACCTGGGCATCCTATTCTGAGTCCAAGATAAACCTTTTCTTTGAATAAATTCAGACTCTTAGAAAAATTACAAAAAATAAAAATGGTGCAAAGATCCATACACCCTGTTTAACCAGATTCACCTGTTCTTAATGGTTTACCCCATTTGTCATCATCTGTGCAGTCCCCTCTTCTCTCTGTAAGTGCGCATGTATGCATATACACACATATACACATGCACAAATATTACTTCCAGGACTCTGTAACTTACCTTGTACGCTTCAGTGTACATTTCCTAAATGTGAGATACTGTATGCCTATATCACAGTAATTGCCCTCAGCAAATTTAAATGGGCATAATACTCTCATTTGCTGTATCTGTGCACATTTGTCAGTGGTTCAGATTGTTTCCTACATAATGTTGAAAACCATTAGTAAAAGATCCAGACTAGTCAGTTATTGCATGTAATTATTATACATATTTTTCAACATCTTTTAAATCTGGAACGTTTTCACAGTCTCCTGTCTTTTTATAGTATTGACATTTTTAAAAAAAGCATAAGCCCCTCTCCCCAAAAGGCCTTTCCTTTGGAGTTTTTCTGGCATTTCCTTTAAGTAGATTAAGGCTGAGCAGTCCAGGCAGGTATGCTGCCTGGGCGTGGCCTGCTACACCCATTTCATAGAGTAGAAATGTTGGTCCATGGTCAGGGCACTTTCCAGTTCCCCACTGCTTAGGTCCTGTGTGTTTCCCCCTCTGTGACTAACAAGGAGCATGTGGGAGACACTCCAGCTGTTCAGGTACCTTCTCTCAGGTTCCTTCTGGATTGTCTGCTGGTAGCTCTTATCTGATCCTGTGTTCACCATGATGGCATCTATATGAACACATCATTATTTTCAAAGCTGTACTTTGCAAAAAAAAAAAAAAATTTA